AATTGTGATTATTAAACGAGTTTAATTAATTATTACTTATAATACATTTAATTTTAAGTATTGAATCAAAATATCAAACATCCTCTCGATAAGAAATCACAGGTAAAAAGCGCTTTATGAAAAGCTCCAGCAATAAATCATCTCCAGTCCACCTTTTACGTTGGTGGATGTTGTTTGGATCACCGGTCCATTTTTTATAATCAAACTTTGCTGATCTAAAAATCTTATCAATTTTTTTTTTCTTATTATTGATTATATATATATATATATATATATATTTATATAAAAAAATTTGACTATAAATTATTTCTTCAAATATCTCCTCTAATTTGTATTATCATTAAAGATATATTATATCAAATTAATCATATATTTTTCTTTAATAATTTTAAAATTATTTAGGGTGAAGTACCAGTAAATCTCAAATAGTAATCTTATGAATTGTTTGATCTTTTTTATTTTATTTTATTTTATGGACCCAAAAGTCTTATTTTAATGTGAATTACATAAAGAGCCAAATATAAATATGCATGTATTATGTGTTGAGAGACAAATATGAATTTTCTCATAATATTGAAATTACTAAACGTGACATTTAAAAACAAAACTCGTTAGTATACTTTTATTCTAAACGTAACACTCCAATATAACACATTAAAAAACTCCTTAGTGTACTTTTCTCAAACATAATAACGCAACATTCTAAAAAAACTCCTTAATGTATTTTTTCCAAACATAACATTTCAATCAATGTAACACACAAAAACTCCTTAATGTACATTTTCCAAATATAGCATTATAATATAACACTCCAATGTAATACCAGAAAATCACACTAATAGAAATGTAGATTTCAACACTCGATAGCCAACACTTCAGCCAACACTTCAGCCACTAATCCATCCAAAAAGAATCTTTTACACAGAATCTTTCCATTCTCATCCAAAAAACGAATCAAAAAATTTGAAAATAAATCACAAAATGCCATTTACTTAAACTCAAACGGTACTAAATCAAAAAACATATAACTTTCTAGAACAGAAAGGATTAATTGGTTCATAAGAAAACTTTTAGTACTAAATGGATTAACATTTTCCCATATGAGATTTATGGGTAAAATTTTCAATTATTTAAGGTTAAATTACAAATACACCCCTGAGGTTTACTTAAAGTACAGATTGTCCTATGTGGTTTGGAAAATTACAAATATCTCCATGTTAGAATTTTTTATTTAACAAAATTAACTAAAAATAAATAAAATTCATAATTGCCCTCCTATGCAATAATACAATTACCTAAATTATTAATTAAAACATATTTCTAACATCATTAAAAACTGTTAGTTAAGTTGATGATTTATTAATAAAATGAGTGATTTGTTATGAAATTAGAAAACTCAGGAGGTGAAATGTAATTTCTGGAACTACTCGGAGTGATTCGTATTTTAATCAGATCTCATGAGATGTATTGGTAATTTATCCATTATTTAACATATATTATTATTATTGATAATTTTTTGTTTTATTTTACACTGAAAATAAAATCTTACAACTCTCAACATAATTTTAGATCCAATCCAAGAGCCTCTCAGAATAATTTGATTTTAACAACGATGGTCTACCGAGTTTAACCGACCAGTGATGTTATATACACCAATTAATATATTAATTAGTGTATCGACGTATGTTAAGACATTGTCATTTCAAAATTATGGACTCCATCTATTATATGAATTATAAAGACTTAAAACCTCTAAAATTATATCAAATCATCTATTAATACACTAATTAATATATCAATTGATACATATAATTTTATTATTAACCCAAAACGTGCTTCACTCATCAAGGACCACTTCACCAATAAGGCCGGCATTGAGCGAGATATGGCATGTAAAACACATTTTATGGAAAACTGGAGCAGGAAAGATCCTCTTTAGTCTTCTTTTTATATTGGAGAATGTTGTTTGAATATTTGATGCTTATTACGGATCTAATTTTAATTGTTTGAATTGTTTATCTATTAAGTTATATTTAGTTAAACTTTTAATAGTAATATTATAAATTTAAACTTAATTACTCAAAAATTATTTTAAATTATCATTTTGTGATTCATATTCATCCTATACATAATCTCTACACTACACAAATTTAATTTTCACCACATAACCACCGACCCAAAAAAATTTGGGTGAATATGTCTGGCACCATCGCATTTTTCAAATTTTAAATTGATTCGATAATTATGATCATAAAATTTCTTTATATTTATCTTTAAAAAAAAACAGTTGTCATTCATTTAAAAAAATAAATAAATATGAAATTATTTAAATATAATTATTGGATTTTTTTTCATAGAGCATTTCACACTCCATAATGTGAATAATGGAGAAAGCAAGTATAGCAGTATTATATTGATTAGTGCCATCCTGTTGATTATCAATAACATTTTATTATTAAAATTAGCGATTGACACATTCGATACGTGTTAAATTTGAATAAGTAAAAATAAAATAAAATATTTACTATATATTGTATGTCAATTAAGTGGTAAAACTTTTCTTAAGCAAATCTAAGATCTAATATTTAAGTCTCATTTATTTTTTGTTTTAATATGTGACATAAGTACTATCGGTTAGCACATGCGAAGTGTGCACAATTTAAAGAAATAAAAGAAAATTAAATTATTTACTATATCATATGTTGTGTGTTAGTTGAGTGGTAACTTTTATCTAATTTTTTGTTTTATATATCGCAAATATAAATATAGATAGATAGAAGACAAAATGAGGAAAAGAAAAAAAAAATCAATTAATTGGAGAAAAAGATATCACTTGGGAAAGTTTTCATGACAACGTGTTTGAAGCATCAATTAGGAATTATTGACACCACAAAATGTGAACATATGGAAAAAAAACTACATGGAAAGTATGAGCAGTGACAAAAAAACAAAAACAAAAACAAAAACAAAAAAGTAATTTTTTTTTTGATATTATAATGTTAAAATTCATACCATTTTCGATCAAAATAATTTTATTTTTTTATATTGGTACTAATGTAAAACCCGTATTATGCACGGTCTTAAACAAATAATTAAAATTTTATTTTTGAATTTAAATAGTAACAACTTTAAAAGTTAAAGTTAAATGGTTAAAATCATTTAAATTAAGGCCTCGTTTGAAAACATGTTTTTTTAGTAATTTTTTGACTTTTTAGCTAAAATATGATATTTTTACATTGTAATTTTTTTTTTGATATTATAATTTTAAAATTCATAGCATTTTCGATCAAAATAATTTTATTTTTTTATATTGATACTAATGTGAAACCCGTATAATGCACGGTCTTAAACAAATAATTAAAATTTTATTTTTGAATTTAAATAGTAACAACTTTAAAAGTTAAAGTTAAATGGTTAAAATCATTTAAATTAAGTTCTCGTTTGGGAACATGCTTTTTTAGTAAATTTTTAAATTTTTGACTAAAATATGATATTAAAAAAACTGATATGTTTGGGATTATTTTTTGATTTTTTATGAAAAGAAGTGCAAAAAGTAGAGAAAAAAAGAGGAATATTTAACTTTTTGGTATAGATTATTCGCTTTTTAATTTTTTTAGTGACCTTTTAACTTTTTAGCTAAAATCATCACTTGCCAAACGAGGCCTAAGTTGTTTTTGAACTACACTCAAATGATATTTTAATTGTGTTACAATTAATGTTATATTTTAAGTATTATCTAACAACCCCAAGGGGTTGGCCTACTAGGCGTAACTTGGGGTCTGTGAGTGTATTCTCCTCAGTTGTTAGAGCATCTCCAATGCACTAGACATATAATACTTGTTAGTTAAAATGCCTAGTGTGATTCAATTTTTTCAATTCCAATGCACTAGGCATATGATTAGGCATTTTGGCTCAATTCATATTCACAAGCTACATGTAGCTAGCCTTCAACGCTAGGCAAAATGTATTCAATCATTAGGATCATTTCCCTCCATCTTTGTTGTTGACGTGTCATTCTATAAAATTAATAGTATTTGGATAAATAACTAAAATAAAGAGTATGGTTAGAGTAAAAACATAAAACAGTTGATAGGCAAAATAAAATATATACTTTATAGGAATATTTAGATAGGTAAAATGCCTACTACCGTTGGAGATGCTCTTAGATTCAACTCTCATTAGGTGCTATTAAATCCTTGGAGGTATGCTTATGAATTTGCCTGAGATTGGCCCAATTCACGTGATAGAGGCACTTTACGTATGTTCTGAAATTAATTAAGGTACACATAAATATTAAAATAAGAAAAAAAATTCATTTAAAATTAAAAGTAAATATATTATTTTAAGTCAATTTCTTGTCCATAGCAACGTATAACTTTTAATTTACAATGACATATTGAAACTCAAATTAGAGAATCAAATGAAAGAAAGTTAAGTAGTACTGACCCATTTTCCTCCACTCCCTATAAATTATTTCACTAATTTCTCACCGCTTTCAATTGCCTTTTTTAGTCGCTTTAGTCAGCCACCTTTTTTTCTAATGCCTTTCTCCAGCCACCTTTACGACTTTCAACCCAACTCAACAATTTGCTACAGCTCCTGCCTATATTCTCCAATCTATGCCCTATTAACTAACTCTTTGTGAATAACATTAGTTTTAAATTTAAAAAAAAAATAATAATAAAAATAATAAATCATCAAAGGGTTATTTTTAAAGTTAAAGGAGATTTTGTAATTTACAAAATATCATGGAATGGTTGAGCAACGGAGAGCGTGTGGAGTAAGATTAAAATTAAAATTAAGTCAATAAAAATAATTATATATATCTATATGATAAAGTAAAATGATTTTTAAAAATATATAAAATGTATTAGAGATACATTTTATTTGAATGGTCTAAATCAATCTTAATTAACATCTAACAATTGAGATCAATTTTTTTTCCGTCCAAACACTTTTTGCTCCCTCTCGCTGATGTCTCTTCAACTCTTTCTCTCTCTCTCTACACGTTCTCTCTCACGTCTCTTCAAAATGTATCAGAGATCAGGTTCTATTTCTCACGTCTCTCACATTCTCTCTGCGATCATTGGTACAAGCAAAAGAAATAGAAGCGGCAACGGAAGCCACTGTTCTTACATTTCCCTTTCTCATCCTTTACCAACCGGTGCCCACGACTATGGCCGATCGCCTACGATCATCCGATACTCCTCCGGTTGCAAAAAAAACTATATAATCCTCTCTCTCTCGATGCCGCTCACCACTGAAAAGGAAGATCAGCAAACAACAAAAACCCACCTCTCCTTGCGACGACCACTACTATTGCCGGAGACCCAAACCCGAACCCCCTATTTTCCATCCTCCTCCCTTTTTCCTCACCCCCCTTCATCACTGCAGTCCTCTCCTCCTCCTTCCCTTCGAACTGGCAAGGTAAGATTGTTTGTTTTGATTTTGGTTGTTTTGGAATCAGAAATTACAAAATCATTGTTGTTTTGTTGTTCAGCATCGACATCCACCCTTGCAAGGTAAGATTGAAGCCTCTCCTCTTCTCTCTCTGTTTTTGTTTTTGTTTTTGTGGCTGTGTCTGTTTTAATATTTACAATTAATTAAACCCATTGAATAAGAAATTAGTTTATCTGTACATTAATTGTTTAATTTTTGAATAAAAAGAGACGTAATGAGGTTATAGAGTTTTTGATTGAAGGATTGAAAAGATATGTAGTCTAAAGTGGAAATAGAGGAATGGACTTGATAGCCGCGGACATGGAAAAGAAAGGTAATAGGAGACTTTGATTGTCATATTCTTTGTGATTGTAAAGATATAACGATTTGGGTTTGGCCATTTTCATGGTTTTTAAGTTTCCTGTTATTTCTGACCATGAAGACAGGGAATTGTTCATAGTGATTTGAAGATTTATATAGTATCATATATGTAATGTTCATACTTAAAGATGGCAAGGATGTTATTTGCTGAATTGTATGTACGTTTTTGTTGTGCTTTGACATAACCATGAAATGAAGGTCTGTTTGTGTGGAACTGAATTCGATTTTTGTTTAATTTCTTTACATTCTCAGTGATTATACCTTACAAGTCAGATTTGATCAATGTACTGTAAGCAGAACTAGCGTGCAAACAGGTCTTATTTTCTTGCTTGGTGTAAATTACATTTTTTTCGAGAAATTGTGTAAATTACATTGATGTGTCTTCTTCTTCTGTTAACTTTATTTGAATACACTCACTGCCAGTCTGTTGATTATGTTGTTTTAGTACCGATGCTGCTCCCTTCAAACTCGCACTCGGTTAGTAATTTCAATATTTATTTTTTTCAGTCGCTGTTGATTATATTGATTATGTTGTTTCTCTCCTCCTTCTTCCCTTACAGCCCTTCGAACTCGACTGTTGATTATGGCTGTTTTTGTTTTTGGCTGTGTTGGGTATGGCTGGGTTTGTTTTCTGTGAGGGAAAACAAAATTGTTTTTTACTTCCCTGTATCATCCCAAGATTTAGTCATGGAATTCTTGGGTGCTTCAGTTTATTACTTCCCTGTGTGCTTTAGTTTATCAGTTTATTATTTCCCTGTATCAGGTTTTTGCTTCAGTTTATCAGTTTATAGAAAATCTGTTATTGTTTGTTGTGAGGGAAAGGTAGGAAAAATTGTTTACTTCCCAAATTTGTTTTCTGTTATTTAGTGCAGACCTATTAATTTGTCCTTCACAGTAACCTATTTTGCTACATATTAATTTCCTTCACAAGAACCTATTGTGCTTGAGTTTATTAAATAAATTATTAGATGTTTTTGTTGTTTTATTTTATTTAAATTTTGTCCTTCACAAACTTCACAAATTATAGTACTGACATTGCTCCTTTCGCTGCTCCCTTCGAACTCGCACTTAGTTAGTAATTTTAGTATTTTTTTTCCCGATCGTTGTTGATTACGTTTAGTCATGGAATTCTTGGGGCATAACCCAAATACAAGGGGCATACTCCAAGACCTAAAAATATACAAAGCTCAGTTGAAGCAAAACAAAATAAGGAAACTAACAAAAAAACTAACCAGACAAACAAAAAAGAAAGCACCACAGATTTGTTCAATCACTACATATAATACAGGGAAAACAAAATTGTTTTTTACTTCCCTGTATCATCCCAAGATTTAGTCATGGAATTCTTACTCGGCTCGCACGGTAAGTTTTTTTTTCCCCGCTTCAAATAGGCTATTTTAGGGTTTTGTTGGTTAGTTCTGTTTTTCAGCATTGTTTGGTGGCTATGTCTATTCCTCTCTCTGTTTTTCAAACAGGTTTTTTTTCAGCATTATTTGGTGGCAGAAATTGTAAATAAATTGTGAAATTGGGCATCACATTTTCTTCCTCTCTCAGTTTTTTTTTTTTTTTTTTTTTTTTGTGTGGTCGTGTTTGTTCTTTGTGGCTTCAGTTCTTTAGTTTTTTGCTTCCACATTTGGTTCTATCTGTTAGATTTTTCTAGGTTTTGTTTTTACGCCTTGAATTTTTGGTCAACTGGTGATTATTAGGTGGAATTGGGGTGGGTTAATAGGGCCGGCTTAGATCTGGTGCGATTTGTAATGGACAATTGTGATTTTGATTTGAAGTGGTTATGATGAATCGTTTATTTTGATTTTAGTTTGTATGGTGAATATATTTTTTGGTCAACTGGTGATTATTGGGTTGAATTAGGGTGGGTTGAAATTAAAAATCTAGATATTTGATAGATTGGGGTAAACAGTAGGCTGGTTCTGTTTTTGATTAAATAGAATAATCATTTTTTTGTTTTCTAATTTGTGGATGGGTCTGTTCAAACCCCAAAACACAGGTACTTCAGTTCTTCAGTTTTTTGCTTCCAAAGTGATTTTTTGGCACTAGGTTAGTTAATTTTGTGTAATGATTATTAAGTAAGCTCTGGTTATTTGTGAATATTGATGCTGCTTGTGGAATTAAATGTTTAATTTTCTGTTCTGTGGACATCATAGCTGAGGTAATGTCATAGATCAGATTATTTATTCTCATCAAAGTTCAGATTACCTAATTTCCCTCATACTTTTGTTTCCCATTGTCACAGGTTTTTGTTCTCTTGGTTTAATGACAGTAGTGCTGGTATATCTGCTGTGTCAATTTTTGTGTTTGGTAATTTGTTTTCTCTTTCTCTCCTTTTCTCTCTATCTCTATTTGTTTTTGGCTCTCATTTCTGGAATAGTTATGTTCACATTTTCTGCCCAAAAAAAAAAAAAAATGAAGAGTAATTGAGTAAAAAAAGAAGAATAATTGAGTAATTGAAGTTCGCATGTTTACATTTTCTGCAATAGCTATGTTTTGATGATATGGTTGCTTATGCTCTTAAGAGTGAAAGATTATGTGTGGGCATGTAAGAATAATGATGGAGATGTTCAGAGTGATCTTTTAGCACAAGGTTAGTTAATTTTGTGGTAATGATTATCAAGTAAGCTCTAGTTATTTGTGAATATTAATGCTGCTTGTGGAATTGAATGTTTAATTTTTTGTTTTGGGAACATCATAGCTGAGGCAATGTCATAGATCAGATTATTTATTCTCATCAAAGTTCAAATTACCTAATTTCCCTTAGACTTTTATTTCCCATTGTCACAGGTTTTGGTTCTCTTGGTTTGATAACATCAGTGCTGGTATATATGTTGTGTCAATTTTTTGTGTTTCTCTTCAAATGCATTCTTTTATGTGCTTCCTCACTAAGTGTTTAAGGATATGGATGGGCTCCAGGTGTGCCCAGATGGAAAGACCATTGAAGCTGAGGCAGCCCATGGCATAGTCACCCGCCATTATAAGGTTCATCAGAAAGGAGGTGAAACTAGCACAAATAGCATAACATTTATTTTTGCTTGGTCAAGAGGACTTGCGCACAGGTGTGAGATTGTTATGGCTTGATTTTAAGTGCTACTGCTGGTTTATGCTATTCTAGATCCTCCTAGACTTAAATTTAGTTTGCCTTGTGTGGGTACTTGTATCAAGCTCAATACGTGGCAAGCCCTACAGGTGCCACATCACCAAAACCCCACCTACGTGGCAGACCAATAAGGCATCACGTCTGGCATGTCGTATGTTTGATACATGGCGAGCCCTATAGGCGCCATGTGCCAAGGCAACCAAAACTATATGCTTAGCCTAAGCGGGAGCATATATACAAGCCCAAATATATCTAGATATGAAGAGCCCTGCAACAGGCAGCACCATGGCCCCGTAGGGCCCATGGTCCTTCATACCTAGCTCCAAGGCCAAACAACAATACAATCAGCCCCCGGCTCACTTGTACTTGGATTGATAAACAATGGCTCTCCTAAACATTGAGATAGGCCTGCGGCCCATTCTCCTACTTGATCGCTCAGAAGCGAGCCCCTCTCTTAAACATTGAGCTAAGCCCGCGGCCCATTCTCCTACTTGGTCACTTGGAAGCGAGCCCTTGGCTCTCTTAAACACTAAGGTGGGCCCTGGCCCATTTATCTACTTGGATGCCTGGGTTGGGAGCAGGACCCAGGCACTACTGCTCGGGATCATCAGAGGATACTGGACTGGCGGCTGAGGTCATGGGATCGTCGAGATAGTTGTCTTCTTGCTAAGACAACTCTATCTTGACCAGGCTTGGAGAAGAGGCAACAATGACCTTACGTTCATGTCATCCGATGCATATACGAAACGTTACTTTCTGCCTGCCACGAAACGTTGCTCTCCGCCTGCCGGCAAGCCACAGACGGCAGAAGGGCTTATATCACTTCTGGCAGAGTTGAGGAGAACGAGCCACCTGTCCAACAGTTTGCTTGGGCTCCAATACTCCTGCGGCCTATATAACGTATCGTATATGCAGCGAGACACAACAACAACAATACAACTAAGTCTTATGCTAAAACACTCTCTCATACTTTACATTAGTGTTCAAAGGTCTATCACTGCCAACCTCTCCCTCTCCAAGCTTGCCTTGACCTCCTCCTCTCCACCTCCGGTGATCCCAAGCCATTGAAGTGCCCGCCATCTTCCCGGGCTACCTCTAACCACACTTCTCACCCACATTATACTCTGCTGGGGAAGAGTGGTGCTCGCTTCGCATGGCACCCAAAAAGAACACTGGAACTGGAGTAGCGACATCCCAAGGTGGCGGTAGGGAGGCCCTGGCGGAGACCTCGGAACACAACTCCGGTGGTTCTCCAGAAGAACAATCCTCCCAACCGGTTATAACAGATCAACTACGTGTATTGACTGAGAGCGTCACCTCCCTTCAACAGAACCAACGACTCTTAATGGACGCCCTGCTAGCCTTACAAAGGGCACCTACGCTCCCATCATCATCTAACCCTCCAACATCATCTCAAAATGGCGTTCTGCCATTACCCCAAAATGGCTCAGAAGCCAACCTCACTACGCAAAACGACTCGCGAACCCAAGCGGGAGGACAAACAGCCCCCCCGCTCCCTCCATTAGCTCCCAGCCAGACACCCCCACCACAAGTTGGGTCCATTAGTGGAGCTCCCATCGCAGTGGCTTCAACTGGCTCTCCGGCTCTTCCGGCAAATCAGAACCCTTCCCAGCCATTAACATTGGAGGTCGTAAAAGAGCACATACATAGCCTACTTCAGACAAACAAAGGTCACATCCCTGCCTCCCCAGAATTGGATCTCCGTCCTCCTTACCCTATTCACATCGCAAGTCTTCCATATCCGACGGGATATACAGTACCCAAGTTTGTTCGCTTCGATGGACGAAAAGAGAACGCCAGGGAGCATGTTTCACGCTTTCTTGACGCCCTTGGAGCTCACCGAGAAGACCGAAACCTCCACATGAGAGAATTCTCCAAATCTCTCACAGATCGAGCATTCTCGTGGTATGCTAACCTCGCTGCTGGCTCTATTTCTTCATGGGAAGACTTGGTAAAAAAGTTTTACATCAAGTTCTTCTATGTTGAAGAGAGGTTAACCACCCTTTATCTTATGAGGGAAACACAACGACTTGGGGAGGACATCCTCGTTTACGTCCGCCGTTTCAGGGAAAAAGCAGTAGACATTCAAGACCCAATGGAAGAACACCAACTGGTATCATTGTGCATTGAAGGAATGATCACGACTTATAAACTCCAGCTGGTCAACCACCACTTCCCTGACTTTTCCGCTTTATGTGCTGCGGCCCGAAACATAAGTGAAACAGTAAGATCAGGGACACGAATGACAGCACTGCAACCCCACTCATGGCGACCAACAGCACCTTAACCTTTCTCATAGAGGCCTAACCGACGCAACCACGCTGTGTATGCAGCCAAGGGCTCCTCTTGGGGAAGAGAAGACCCGCAGGCAAAAAAGAGAAAGTTCGATCAAATCCCCCCGCCATTACCTATCTCAGTGAATGAGGCACAGGCACTCCTCAATGCCTGGGTAGAAGATGGAAAAGTTCACCTTCTCGAGCCAAGGCAACTTGTTAACAAAAAGGATCAAGCGCGGGCAGACTATTGCATATACCATCGTTCCGTTAAACATCCTACTACGGAATGCTGGGCACACAGATCCTTAGTTCGAAAGATGATGTCTGAAGACGCTTTGGAGTTACCTCGCCAAACAGAAGATGTCTTGAAAGATCCTCTCCCGCGCCATAAGGATAATGGCAAGACGGTCATGATGCTTTCGCATTATGACGAGATGGAAGAGCCAATGGTGTGCGAGCTCTCTGAACTCCCAGCTCCCACTTGTCCGGACTTTGAGACTAGACGTATGATAGCACTTAAGAAATCGACAAAGTTCAAATGGTTCTTCGACCAATTCGGCCTGTCTGAAGCAACACGCTTTGAAGCCACCAAGGCCTTTTTAAGACTTGCAGAGCAGAATGGTGAAACGTGCATGAGCGTAAGCGGATCAGTAAGAAAAGTATTTCGGGATAACTCCTTGGCAATAACCTTTACCGAGGCCGACAAACAAGTACCATTTCCACATAACCGTCCCCTATACGTCCCAGTATTCATCAATGGGATGGAGTTTCAAAGAGGATTCATGGATGGAGGAGCTTCACTCAATGTGATGCCTTATTCTACTTTCCAGGCGGCCGGGATCCCACAAAAGCACTTAGTTAGACAACCCATCTCCATCACCGGTTTTGGAAGCCAAAAAATTAAAACCATAGGTCATGTCCAGTTAGACTTAGCAGTGGGACCAATTCGCTCTACTACTAAGTTTCATGTTATAGAAGCAAAGACAACCTATCCGGCTCTCCTAGGGAGAACTTGGCTTCACAGATATGCTGCGATTCCGTTCACCTACCATCAATGTGTCAAAGCAATCTACAACAATGAAGTAGTAGCCGTAGCTGGCTCTCAAAAGCCTTTTCGAGTAGATGAAGCTCACATGGCAGATGCAGTATTTTACAATCATGTCGACGAAGACGAACCTCCCCTGTCACTTCGAGGAACTCCTGTACCTGACTGGGATGACCTCTCTAAAGAAGGTTCATCACCACCTCGTAGAAAGACGTTCACCAAATCAGAGCCCTCAAGAAAGCTCCCTAGAGTCACCAGGTTTCAAACAAAAGATGGCAGAGTGGTATACCGTTTATGACGGTGCGAGGGGTTGGCAAATGTTACCAATGCCGACCCCCAGCTAGCGACGTAGCAATTGTCCATCGTGAACTAAGTGGAGAAGATCACTGTTGCTACACCTTGTCTGCGCTGGCCCAACGCTCGCCAATGGAAAAGAAGAAAAAAAGTAGAGACAAGAAGAGCAGAAAGAGAAAAAAAGTTGTGGCTTTTCCAGTAACGGATAAACACTCTGACAAATCCCATTGTCCTGCGGTAACTCATTTGGATGGAGCCGAAGGCTCAAAAGTTAAACCCCTCAAGACAGCCATTTCATCTCCTAACCAAGTCCCCGCCAAGCAAGATGGATTGCAAGAAGTCCGACCTGCTCCGGAGTGTTTACAGGATGGTCCTAGGCCCCAAAAACAAGAACTGGAAGAAATCAACATAGCCTCTGAAGGAGAACCCAGGCGTCCCATCTTCATTTGCAAAGATCTCCCAGCAGAACAGAGGGGGCCCCTCATCGAGTTGATTAGAAAATATTCGGACGTTTTCGCATGGACATATGAAGAAATGCCAGGATTAGACAAAGATGTTACCATGCACCGTCTGAACGTCATCTCCCTGGCTCGCCCAGTCAAGCAAGGAGTAAGATTTTATAAGCCCGAGGTGGAGCTCAACATCAAGGACGAAGTGGTGAAGCTGCTTGGAGCAGGGTTCATCAAACCCATCCAACATCCCACCTGGCTTTCTAGTATCGTCCCAGTTATCAAAAAGAATGGTCAAATTCGAGTGTGCGTCGATTTCAGAGATCTAAACAAATCTTGCCCCAAAGATGAGTTCCCACTCCCAAACATAGACACCTTGATTGATTCAGCGGCGGGTCATCATATGTTCTCATTCATGGATGGCTTCAGCGGCTACAACCAGATTAAGATGGCTCCAAAGGATGCCCCAAAGACAGCATTTCGCACTCCTATAGGCAACTTTTTCTATACTGTAATGCCTTTTGGGCTGAAAAATGCAGGAGCAACATACCAGAGAGCTATGACAACCATTTTTCATGATATGTTGCACAAGTCCTTGGAATGTTACATTGATGATTTGGTGGTGAAATCCAAAGAGGAGACTAGTCACCTCAAAGACCTCCAAAGAGTTTTTGAACGTTGTAAGAAATACAAACTCAGAATGGATCCGCTTAAGTGCGCATTCGGAGTCACTGCCGGCAAGTTCCTTGGCTGTATCGTTCATCGCCATGGGATAGACCCCGACCCAGCAAAGGTCGCCACCATCAAAAATATGCCACGACCAACCAGTCTAGACGAGTTGAGAACCTTCCTTGGTCGGGCATCCTACTTGAGACGGTTTATCCCAGCTATGGCCGAAATAACACAACCCTTCAATTCATTACTGAAGAAGGATGTCAGGTTCATTTGGAATGAGGAACACCAACAAGCATTTGAAGGAGTGAAATCAACTTTAACATCCCCTCTCTCCATGACTCCTCCTCAGCCGGCGAGGCCCTTACTCCTCTACATCACTTCCACGCCGAAATCAGTCGGCGCTCTGCTCGCCCAGGAAATTGACGGACTTGAACGGCCCGTGTACTACATAAGTAGAGTCATCCAAGGGGCTGAGGTCCGATATTCCCCCATTGAACGACACTGCCTTGCCCTAGTGTTCGCAGCCAAAAAGCTCCGCCATTACCTTCTTTCTTATCCCATCCATCTCATGACCAGGAGTGATCCTATCCGCTTTCTCCTCACTAGACCAGCGCTCTCCGGCAGGCCAGCTCGTTGGCTCCTATCATTAGCAGAATACGACATCACTTGCAAAGCTCCCAAGGCCATCAAGAGTCAAGCGCTTGCCGACCTCTTAGCTCACTTCCCTAGTGGAGAACATGAATCGCCTTCGGATGAATTGCCAGGTGATGAGTTCCAAGCAGCTGAAGTAAACATTGAAGGAGAATGGAGTTTGAGTTTCGATGGATCGTTCACCTCTAAAGGGGGAGGAGCTGGAATAGTCCTTATTTCTTCAAATCAAACCGAAGTCAATTTGTCATATAAACTGGATTTTAAATGCTCTAACAACGAGGCAGAATATGAAGCCTTGATATTAGGGCTTATGGCAGCACTCGACCTAGGAGTAAGTCTCCTATGTATCAAAGGCGACTCTAATTTGGTGGTCAAGCAGACCAATGGAGACTATGCTATCAAAGAGCCGCCTTTAGGCTCGTACAGAACCATTGTCCAAAGGTTGACAGACAAATTCAACATGGTAAGGATAGAACACGCTCCTCGCTCCAACAATCGACACCCAGACGCCCTCGCTACCTTGGCTTCTAAAGTAGAATTCGCCGAAGAATCAACTAAGATAGAAGTACTGAAGCGCTCCATGCCGTGCTCGGTAACAACTATTTTTCCTGAAAAAGAACCCGCCGACTGGAGAGCCCCAATCATCGAAGTCCTTATTTCTTCAAATCAAACCGAAGTCAATTTGTCATATAAACTGGATTTTAAATGCTCTAACAACGAGGCAGAATACAAAGCCTTGATACTAGTGCTTATGGCAGCACTCGACCTAGGAGTAAGTCTCCTATGTATCAAAGGCGACTCTAATTTGGTGGTCAAGCAAACCAATGGAGACTATGCTATCAAAGAGCCGCCTTTAGCCTCGTACAGAACCATTGTCCAAAGGTTGACAGACAAATTCGACATGGTAAGGATAGAACACGCTCCTCGCTCCAACAATCGACACCCAGACGCCCTCGCTACCTTGGCTTCCAAAGTAGAATTTGCGGAAGAATCAACTAAGATAGAAGTACTAAAGCGCTCCATGCCGTGCTCGGTAACAACTATTTTTCCTGAAAAAGAACCCGCCGACTGGAGAGCCCCAATCATCGATGAGCTCCGCGCCCCTTCAGGTAAACTACCTTTGTGCGAAATCAAACACTTCACAATTTACCAAGGAGTCCTCTACTACAGAGGGCTTGGGGTCTGCTAGCACGATGCATCGACTTTGCCGAAGCCAAGTCTAAGCTAGAAGGGGTTCACAATCGTTCTTGCGAAACAGGAGACGTGAGCCTCTACAGGAAGCTACAACGACAGGGATATTATTGGCCTACTATGGCCAAAGAAGCAAACGACCTTCAAGGAAAATGCACCAAATGCCAGGAATTCGCTCCAAAAGCTGAATGCAATTTCGCAGAAATCACCTCCGATTGGCGTCAGGTATATATAGATTACCTCAAAGAAGCATCATTGCCGCCAGATCGCTCTGCAGCTGCAATAATCAAGAAGCGAGCCTCGAAATTCTTTTTGCAAGAAGGGCAACTTTTCAGGCATGGTTTTGACGGGAAGCCTTTACGTTGCTTATCGGGAGCAGAAATCCATAAAGTCTTAGAACTTGCTCATGGGTCGGAGCACCAAGGTGGAGCCAAGCTATTCCAACATCTTTTGCATATAGGTTATTATTGGCCCACCATGGAAGCAGACGCCAAAATATATGCCAAATGCTGCAAACCCTGTCAACTCCATGGTAACCTTATTCATGCACCAGCCACCGATCTGCATAGTTCGAGCTCACCATGGCCTTTCCACACATGGGCTATGGATCTTATTGGCCCCATCTCTCCACCATCAAAAGGACACATATGGATCGTAGCGGCCACGGAGACTTACACTAAGTGGGTAGGAATTCTGTAAGGAAATCCCCATTCCAGGTTATTATAAGGAGCCAGAAAGAAAGTATGGCATACGGAAGGCAACGACGTACAAAGGCAAGCGTTGAGTCGTTTGTAGTTACAAACCATACGCTCTTTTCCTCGCTTTTCCTCCTTCGTAATTGGATCAATAGTTTACGCTACAATAGCCATGAAAACTAGCTCTGATACCAGAAAAGCCATCCCCCTGAAGAAGGCAACAGGAGCCGTTGTCTCCAATTTCATTCGAGAAATCATTATATGTCGTTTTGGCATTCCTAGAGTAATCCTGTCGGATAACGGGACCCCTTTTGTCAACCGCCAAGTGGGGAAACTCTTAGTCTCCTATGACATCACACACCATAAATCAGCGCCTTACTACCCCTAGGGCAATGGACAAGCTGAAGTAACCAACAAAACACTCCTTAGAATCCTTTCAAGGACTTTCAAGGATTATCAAAGGGACTGGGCACATGTGCTTCCAATGGCACTCTGGGCATACAGAACATCCAAAAGAAGACCAACTCAAATGACCCTATTTTCGTTGGTATATGGCACGGAAGCCATCCTTCCAGTGGAAATTGCCATACCATCAGCTCGCATGGCCCTCCGAAGCGGAACTAGCCCGTACTCTAGGACGCCAAAGCTGGAAGTCCTTGATGAAAGAAGGGACAAGGCCCAGACTAATCTTAGAGTTTACCAGAGCCGTATAGCTAAAGCTTATGATACTCTGGTACGTCCAAGACAGTTCCAAGAAGGTGATTTAGTGTTGTGGGCTGCACCTCACGTCATGAGGGGAACATCAACTCACAAGTTCACACCTAAGTGGCAGGGTCCTTTTGTAGTGAGGGAAGTCAATGAAAATGGCTATTACAGAATTTCTGAGCCTGATTCTCAAACCCTCTTAAGCCCCATCAATGCGAAATGGTTGAAGGCTTACTATCCTTAGAAATTACCCATTACTGTATAATGTACTACACCAAGATGTATTATTTGGGCTTCTTCAATGAATATCGTCCTTTTTCACACTTATTCTAACTATAATCACAAATAATAAAAGATGACGCTTTAACTCGAAAGTCAGCTCCATTAAGTAGTTGAAGATTTTCAATTACAAAAAAAGAAAGGGAGGCCCAAATCTCCAACATACAAAAAAGTTTTAGGCTATAAAGCTATCATATGCTATAAAGTTATCATATGCTACAAAACTACGATCCAACTAAGTCAAGACTCTGGAAGCTTGATCTTCTTCTTCTTCACCTGCCAATCTTGCTTCAAGAATCGCTTTCTTTTCTCTCAAGCTAGAAGACACCAATTCTGCTTCATTCAAAGCTTTCTGTGCTCGTTCAAAAGATAGCTTACGTTCCTCCTCCACTCGTACAGCAACAACCAAAGCCTTGTCTACCTCGCCTAGCTCAGCCTCAATCATCCTCCTCCTGACCTTGGATTCAAGAAGGGATAACCAATCATCCAACCAACCCACCTCCAATCTGTTAATCAGGCCATCTCGAAATTCGCCCAAAACAGCACGTTGGGCCAACACCTCATCAAAGAAGCTGTCTCTGGGGATAACTTGTAAAGCTCCTTAAGGAATTCTCCAAAACCATCCAAAAAATAAGTCCGGAGATAAGAGCTACCCAAGTGCATGAAAGTGGTCGGTTTATAATGAAGAACAAAGAGCAGTCGAGGAAGTTACTCTGCTTTGACCCCGGCAAACAACACAGCTGGATCCAATAGCTTTTCCTTCCCATCGATCCCTTTAAGAACCACACTGCCACGGGGAAGATGAGTAGGAGAAAAATCTCCATCAGTAGCATGAACGAGGGAATAACCTCCATCAATAGCTGGCAGTGATGGTCTTTGAAGGCTACCCCCAATATCACTAGCACCTTTCTGAATGAAGCCAAACAACTCGCGTACGAGCACACCACCCAAGTTTGCACCAACTAAAACAATAGGCGAGTTGATTCCAACTTCGGAGCCCGAAGGAATGATAGGCACATTACTCTCTAGGCCCGCAGAGGTCGTAGAAGCATGTAAAGAAATGGGCGCAGAAGAGCCTATGCTGCATGACAAGCTCACGGATGTACTGGCACCTCCAACTCGTGAGCCAAGCACATCGCTATGTGAAAAATTACAACCACCTTCAAACAAGCGAGCAATAGGGACACCACCTCCAATCTTGTCCCGCAAAGGAACCAATGCATCCCTAAAACTTGATGTATCCAACAAAGAAGGCCTAGCACTAACCATATCACATCCAACATCGTCCTCAACATCATCTCTCGCCCCCATAACCTCAAGACTCTGATCCGAACCCTCTTCATCATCCTCTGAATTTTCTACATCGTCCTCAGCACCTATGGGCAAGACTTTATGCCGTGCCAATTTTATTTGACACGCACCAGCCGACCCCTGCAAACAACACAAGTATTTTAATACAAACGTATTGGAAACGCCACAAACTCACAAATAATTCCAAAGTACAAGATATGAGTTTACCTGTGACGAATCAATGGTGTCAGTCGAGCAACCCCTCGCTTGGCAGGCAGTCCTAGTTTTAGTAGGCGGACCTATACCTCTAATCTGTGGAGGTACTCTCCCAGGCACTGGAACAAGAACGGAGGAAGGGGGTGGCCTTTTACGCTTGGCACTAGATGGTCGGTCAGGAGAAACTATCTGGGATTGTTCCAAAGCAATAGTCACCTTAGATAAACGAGCCAATGGGCTGAGTTCCCCCCTATCTGCAGCTGACAAGCCCCGATCTCCGCGAGCCATACATAACTCAGGGTCATCAGACGGAATAAGCTCAACATGGACAGGATCAAGATCACTACTCAAAAAAGCCCGAAATAATGCAAGATTGCATCTCCAATACTTCCTTCAACTAGGGGTGGTTCCGCCAATTCTACCCTTATTTGCTAGCACAACTCGCCCCCGACGCCTTAATTCTTCTGAAAGAAAAGAGTATACATATAATTGCATACAGTCGGCGGCCGAAGGCGCAGGAGAAGGAAGATGTTGAGGAACCCCTTGGTCCAAACCAAACTGTCGAGCAACCTTCAAAGGATGATAGGCCACCACACCGTATGTGCCATCCAGAAAATAAGGTAAATACCCAGAAACGGTGCTAAGAACCATCACTGAATCCGCATCCCCCAAATAAGACACACCCGGCTCGAGAACAAGCTCGCAATCATCTAGGCGGTAGGCAACGGTAGAAGATACTCCACAAACTGGCATAACATAAGGACGAGCAACAAACTTGTCCTCAAAATCAAAAATGCTGGCCAAACTCCCCTGTACACATCCCTCAGCCCACCTAGCTGAACGCGGCTCACTTTCTTCAATGGAAAACACCTTTGGCATAGGGGCCAAGCTAGGAAATCTCTCATACAAAAACAACTGCAGAAAGGTAGTAGGGAGGAAGCTAGTAACATCATATCGTCCTTTGGAATAATCAACACCCTCCTGATACATATCTAACCTCCTATACAGTCCCCCGAGAAATAAAGGAGCCAACGGAATCGGACGGCCGGAAGCAAGAATCGCAGTAAGAGGAAAGAACTCATGACAAATACCGTCTTGAGGTCTACCCATCAAGACGTACCGTGATAGCCAATAGGTAATGAAAGCAGCTAAATGTTCAACACTCCCCCACTTGTCCCCTTCCATTCCTGGACCTATAAATCCACCCTCCACATTTCCTTGGACCTGATGGCTAGGATCTCAAAACCAGTACTGAAGCCATCCCCCAAAAGTGTGTTTCGATCGTTTTCATGATCAAGGTGTAACCAACACTTTATTCTGATAACGACTCAATAACTTCCCTGCCGGTGCCACGGCCTCCTCCAATCTCCCAACAATAGCCATCTGGCTAAGGGACAAACTTCCCACGCTAGGGTTCGCCGATCCAAGATGCTCTAACCCCGTCAAAACAACTACATCCTCTAGAGTAGGGGTCGTCTCGCCCCACTGTGCAATAAAAGTATGAGAACTTGAACTCCAACATGACAATGCGAACTCAACAAAATATATATATATAATTTTTGAGATAGCCTCTCTCCCTCGCATAACCAAACCCATATGTTGGTTAGCCCTTTCCCCTCGCATAACTCTTCCATCCAAAAAAAAAAAAAATCATATTTTGAGATAGCCTCTCTCCCTCGCATAACAAAACCCATATGTTGTTTCGCCCCTTCCCCTCGCATAACCCTTCCCATAAAAAAAAAAAAAAAAAAAAAAAAAAAAAAAAAAAAAAAAAAAAAAAAAAAAAAAAAAAAAAAAAAAAAAAAAAAAAAAAAAAAAAAAAAAATTTGGGATAGCCCCTTTCCCTCGCATAACCAAATCCCCACTCACTTCATCTTTCTTTCACAAAATTCTTTTTTTTTTAATTATAAGAGAGCACTTTTTTTTTTCCCTCCCTCGCCTCATTTTCTTATACTTCCCGAATTTGTTTCATGGGCTTCATCTTTATAGCTCCCTTTTATTTACAGTCCCCTATTACCTCATCACTTTAAAAAAATTAAATTAAATTAAATCGCCCCTTCATTATTTCATTTATTTACCTTATTTTTATATTTCTCCAAATTCTTTTAGAGCTTCCCTCGGTTCAGCTTTTCTGTTTACAACCTATAAATCATAAAAACAATACAACTCCATAACTCGCAATGCAATACTAAAATTTTGCCAAATAGCTCTCCGATATTTATTCTAACAGTTCTTTTTTATTCAGCATACACTTCTCCTTTATTCCTTATTAATTACTTTCCAACATTTTCTCTTTTTACCTAATTAACATTTTATTATAGACCTCTCCAATTCTCCAAAACACAACTTTTTTTTTTATCTGCCTCTTGCTAAATAAATAAATAAATAAATAATAAATAACTAAAAATACAAAAAAAAATAAATAAAAATAAATAAATAAATAAATAACAAAACAATATTTTTATTTCATGGCTCACCTCTGTTTTTCAAAAAGCCTCATATTTTTCCACAAAA